ATGCTACCGCGGCCCTCACGGACCGCGTCGAAATTCTTCTAGCCATTCTTTTCATTTGACATTGTGGGTTGCCTATAATGCGAAGAGATGGCGCTGCCTTGCAGCTTAAGAATGGCTAGAAGAATTTCGACGCGGTCCGTGAGGGCCGCGGTAGCATAATTGGTCAGTGCATTCGCCCGGATTGCGAAGGGTACGGGTTCGAGTCCCGTCTGCTGCCTGGTCCGCGTGGAATTTTTTCTAGTTATATTTTCTTTAAAATACATTTTTTTAGAACAAATGCAGCGAAAACTAGGTTCTTTGCGATGCGGACATACTTTGCGCCAGCGTATATTATTATAGGGCACTAGCTGTTGCCTGTTGTTCGAAACGTCAAAATATGTAGCCTGATTCAGGAACTAAATAATAATCGTGTTTGCTATTTGATAGATTTGTATCCATAACGGGCAGTGAGAGGAAGGAACTGCTATCGAGGCGGATGCGATTGGCCATCTGAGGTTCTGGTATAACAGACCCTGCCAGAATACCAGCGCTGCTGTGACACGTTTTATAGCGTGTTGCGGCAGCATTACGCTGAGGCAGGGTCCTGATTGACCACAAATGGTACTTTATTTTTTTTCTTCTTTTCTCCATTATGTATATTTTCTTATTTTTTTTGTATGTTGTTTTGTAAATTTATAATGTGGTCAATAAAAATGATTCTCTCTCTCTCTCTCTCTCTCTCTCTCTCTCTCTCAACAAAAAGATGTCTTCTTGTTTTATCGTAAGATTTTTTCTGCGCTTTACGATGGAATTGTTATTTAATTGCAGAAAAAACGTCTATTGGAATTTAAGAATCTTTGACCTAAAAATAAATAAAATAAAGAAAGATATTACTAAAAAATATTTATTTATTACATTAGTGAACACGAATTTTAAGTCTGAGTTCTCTGTACCCGATTTTGATTCCTGATACCCTTTTTTTGTTTGAATCTAAATGTAAGCTTATACCTAATTGACATAAAAAAACATACTTTTATTTAAAAAAAAGTTTGCTTTTGTAGCTATCAGAATGAAATTTTAAATTTCATAGAAAATTGCTTTACTTACTTCGCTTTTAATTATTTAAGACAATAAAACCGAGTCTATGAATACGAAAAAGATAAATTTAATTTAAAAAAAATATATTATTGGCATTTCTTATAATTTTTAGTCTAAAAATTTACGCTTTACGAAAAGTTATGTGTTCAGGCGAGGCGAACGGAAGTTGAGTGGGGGATATAAGCAAGAGAAAGCAGTGCGCGCGCACATATTCTTTCTCTCTTTTTCTTATAGCTAGTAAATGAAATAAGTATTAACACACATGTATATATTGTACACACACACACACATATATATATATATATATATGATAGAAATGCTCGAGAATTTCATGAAATGGTCGCCACAATCTATTGGCCACATCATGATGTGGTTTGGGCAGATCAATGATGAGAAATCGTTTCACGATATGGCCAACTAAACGCGTGGCTACTTCATGAAATGGCAAAAAATATTTGATTATATTGTAAAATACTTACATTAATTTCCGGTAGAGGCGCTGCAAGCGCTTTGTTTATATATGTATATGGCGGCCGCTGCCGACAATGTTGTTTCTCGCAGTGAAAAAGTGCATAATTCGTAATTTAATGAGTTGAAAGTTAACAAAAGGGTTTTCGACGAAACAATTTAAGGAGAGTAGGGTGACTACGCAAAAGAAATCTATGGACTATTACTGGCTGTCATTTGACAGCATTTTCAAGTATCACCTCTTGGGCCCTAGACGTACAGTTTACAGTATATATTTGTACGTCATAAATATGACATTTTGGAAACTGCGGTTGAGGTACAAAGTGCGGATGAGAATCAATGCCGTACAAATATATACCGTAAACTGTACTTCCAGGGCCCAAGAGGTGATACTTGAATTTGTTTTGTAGAAAAAGTCTCTTTTATTAGAGTTTTTTTTCTGGCGCTTCGCCGGCCGCTGCCGCGGCACGCTCGCTTTGCTCGCTCGGCTCGCGCGTCATGGTCACAACACTTACCTAACCTAACCTAGTGTGAAGTATTACCGTAATATGTACCAAAGTACCTTATTATTTCTTAATATTTGAAAGTTTTCTAAATATAAATGTGTAAGTTCTTGACATGTTTGATGTTTAATTTAGGAAAAAAAATCTTTAATTTGTTCATTATGTTACAACCGAAAAAATAACCGAAATTTTCTTTGAAAAGAATCATTGTCGTAAACCTCAAAAGGATTTGCGGCGTCACGTAAATACCGTCGCGCCGGATTATATGGTTCATCATCGTATACGTAAAAAATAAAATCCACCAATTCGTCAATAATCTCATAATCAGACATAATTCTCGATAAAAACAACTTGAAAACACCTTAAACACCACTCGAGGAACCCTTAAGGTACGTCGAGAGCTACCTTGAGTTTGACAGTATATTCCTCGACTCCACTCGAGTGAGGAATATCTCAAGTGAAGGATATTTTTGTTGTCTAAGCATACGAACTTCCTCGAATGAGGTTGAGTCGAGTGGGAAAAACTCGAGGAAACGACTAAGAATATGGGTGTGAGATGTTGATATAAATGTTGCCAGCCTGCAATACTTTTCTAATATCCGTCAGTAGGATTTTTACCTTCTGCATGGTGAGTTAGCAGCTGGCGCGTTGTATGTTTTTCTACTAGTCCTAGTCTAGCATGCTAGCTTGAAGTTTGTATATGGCTATTTACAGGCGCGGTCCGGAAGACAGGGGACATGACCCCCCCCCCCCCCCCCAAATCTAAGGTCAAATTGAAAAATCTCAAAAATTTGCCAAATAATAAATAGTTATTTATTATACAAGAGTGGAAAGTTCCTTTTTAACCGCGTGCTCGATTTGGATGACCGAGCAAGCGAAGGATTCTAAAGTTGAATCACGAGCGCAGCGAGTGATTCTAAATTAGAATCCTGAGCGTCAGCGAGGGAAACAAACGAGCACAAGGTGAAAAATCTTTCCACTCGAGTGCAATACGTAACTTTTCATCCCACCTCAGCGAGGAAATGACAAAATGAAAAAGAAAACAATTTATAATGACAAAATATTTTTATTTCAATTAAAACACATTAAGATAATCTATAAATTGAAGAAAATAATAAGAAGTAGAAAATAATTAAGAAATATTAAATGTAACGTTGCTACAGTTACTTATGTTAAGTTTAATATTTTTGTTAGGTAATGTTATGTTGGTGTTTGTGAATTGTGCGCTGTTTTGTGGTAAACTACTCGTATCAGTAATTTTAAATAGTTGTGCCGATTCATTGGATTCTATTGGCGTAAATGTTGGCGAGAGAGGGCTATTGTTTCCAATCTTATGGGGGCTCATTTTAGATGTAGAAGGGCGAGACCAAGAATCTGACAGAGGTTCTTTCAGCGTTATGGCCTCCACGATACTATTACAAATTTTTGATTTACTTTGGATTGAATCCTCTATGTATCCCTCTACAACCGAATTAGACTTCCAGCCTCCATGGCGCTTAAGCGATAGAAGATCAGCCCCTGATTCGGCCAAAAGTGTGGCTGAGGTTCTTCTAAAACAGTGACCGGTGTATAACGGGGGTTCTAAAAGTCCGAGAAAAGTTGCTATTTCTCGTGGAATACTGCCAATTTTATTCTGACCCATAGGTTGTCGGATACACTTTCCGTTGCGATATTGTAGAAAAAATCGTTCAATTGGGGTGTTAGAAGGACGTAAAGCTTGATATTTCTGAACAATGTTTACATATTCCTTGCGAATAACGAAGTTGCGGTCTTTTTTTGTCTTGGTATTTAGTACATTAATTAATAGCAATTCATCAGAATTATGAGAATATTTTGATACGTTATTGACATTAAGTAGTGTAAGTTCATTTGTTCGACATGCTCCGGTTATACCAATAATAAGAACAACCTGTAACAAAAGAAGTATTTATAATCGTAAATAAATTAATCAAATTAAAAATATTGTAAGTACTATGTACAATTTTATCAACAACAAAAAATTACACGTATTGACTTACTTTTGCCGCTAAATATACGGAATCAGGTGCTTCATTAATAAACTTTGCAATTTCAGATGCTGTGAAAACCTTCGATTTTTTTGGTTTATAACCAGATGAGGCTCTTTTTAAAAATGCCACTAATTTATGATAGGTGTCGATATGAACGTCTTTCTTCATCTTAATTGTTAATTTTAGCATTGAATACGTACTCCATAGCGTGCTTGCTTTCTTGGTCTCAGATAATTCTATAAAATATGCCAGCAAAACGTTTTCGGAGAAAGTTTTTGCTCCTTTAGCTAGTCGCCACATGTTAAATATATCGTACTGTTTCAAATACTTCTCTCGTGATTGCTGAGGGAGAAGGCTCATTTGCGCATTATTAACTGTTTCAGTTAACTCAGTTGGCGTTAGATAAACTTCATCGTCGCTAATGTCACTCATTTTAGTTGATTTTTTTGTACAGTTTTTAGGTTATGTTAATTATATTAAGCAATAAAACGTGAAAAACTAGAATGGCGCGAAGCACGCAAATAAAACAAAGAAACCAAGAAGGTTCCAAATTTAAATTTTTTCACAATTTAAAAAGTTCTAATCATAAATTTGGCACCATAGAGGTTACATTAAATAGGTTTAATGACGTTTTGAATTTACAATTATATTGAGTACTCATTATATGTGATGTTCTAAATTCAAATCTACTTTGCCGCTCAAGCGAATAAAATAGAATTTTCCAGCCAGATTTCGAAGCGCAAAATTACACTTTCCGAGGTGGTGGGATGAAAAGGAAATTTCTAGCTATCTTAGAATCTTAAATCATTTAATAAAAAATGTTTTTGTAAAATCAGGAACCCTCGATACGCGAGTTCGACTCGCACTTGGCCGTTTTTTTTTTATTAGTGTAGTGAGTGACCCCCTCCAAAATTTCAGGCTGCGACCGCGCCTGGGTATTTACCAGTGTGTATTCTGCGATGCGTGTTCAGGGAACTGGATGTGCTAAATCCTTTGTTGCACACGTTACAGATGTGCGGTTTCTCACCTACGAAACAAAATGAGTTGATTAATTATTCATTTCATCACTTTTGTAAGGTACCTATGAACATTTTGTACATAAGGGTGTCGATTCTGGCATGATTTTTTTTGTTCTGTGGCTGTTTCCGTTTTACACAGAAGTTTCGCCAATGTCCCGTAAACCTAAACTTAAAGACAACGTTGTATCATTGTCATTCTCTATAAAGAATGAACTGTACTGACTGTTCTTATATTTAGTTTTAATTTTGGAGAATCATGCCAGAATTGACGCCAATGTCAATCTACTATATAAAAATAAGTCGGGTTTTCCTTCCTGACGCTATAACTCCAGAGTGCACGAACCGATTTCCACGGTTTTGCATTCGTTGGAAAGGTCTCGGGCTCCGTGAGGTTTATAGCAAAGAAAATTCAGGAAAAATTTCAAAAAAAAAAATCTTTTAATCACCAAACGAAATGTTACATAAAACGAAGCCATCTGGTGGCGAAACGGAGTTCGCCGGGTTTGCTAGTTTATAATAAAAATGTATTTTTATTTTTTAAGCATTTAACTGCTAGATGTTCAAATCTGATGTTTAATGAGGTACTCGATGGCGCAAGTGGTTAGCGCGTTCGGCTGCGATCGTTAAACTTAAGCAACTTTCGCAGTGGTGGGTCATTGGATGGGTGACCAAAAATTACTATCTCGAGCTCCTCCGTGCTTCGGAAGGCACGTTAAGCCGTTGGTCCCGGCTGCATTTGCAGTCGTTAGCACCCACCAATCCACTCTTCAATCTTCCATGACCCAATCTCCCTATTCCATCAATAGGGAAGGCCTGTGCCCCAGCAACCTTCGCTATCCGGGAGGGTGCACCATGTTCGCGCTAGCATAATTAGTCAGTGCATCCGCTCGGACAGCGGAGGATGCGGCTTCAAGTCTCGTCTGCTCTCGGACCGCGTGGATTTTGTTCTAGTAAAAGCAATTTTTAGACAATACATGTTTATAATAGGGATGATGACTATTTTTTTCTTCGATTATCAGGTAGATTATCAAAAAGTATTGGACACGTATTTTTTCTTTTTTCATATAATATAAACATTGCAGAGATATATTGATTTGAAAAGTCGCATGACGTCACGTTTGAGTACACTTATAAGTGAAAATTCACTCAAAAGTGACGTCACGAGCCCCTACTCCCAAACTTTGACGCGCTATAACTTTGTCATTTTTTGGTTGATTGCCCAAAGAAAAAATACGTGTCCATTATTTTTTGATCATCTAACTGACGGACTAAATAGAATTTCGTTTACTGTACCCCGTCATCACCCCTATTGTCAAGAATAATAAAATATATTGAACTTTTTTCATATGATAATATTGTTGTCGTCATTGTGATTATTTTAGATTGCCATAATTTCAAGGCAGGACATTAGTATACTTATTTTTAAATTAAATAATGTTTATTTGTATTGTGGGGTATATTTATATCATTGTTTTCTTATTAAATCAATAAGAACTTAAGATTATGCTGAATAATGTTCAATGCCTTGTTTTGTAATGCATGTGGTGGTGACCTTTAATTAAAAGATAGCATCTAATTATCGCCGATGCTTGTATCTTGTAAGGGTGCGGCCAGAGTGCACTCAGATTCAGATTCAGATTCAGATTCTGAAAACAAGCGCGAGAAATAAACAGTGTAGTCTAAGCAGGTTGCCTGCTTTTTCTCGCGCTTTGTTTTCTGAGTCTGAATCTGAATCTGAATCAGGAGTGCACTCTGGCCGTACCCTTCGACTACACTGTTTATTTCTCGCGCTTGTTTTCGAAATCTGAATCTGAATCTGAATCTGAGTGCACTCTGGCCGCACCCTTATCTTGTATTGGTGTATATCTTGTTGGTCGTCCTTAAATAAATAAATAAAACAGGAAGAAAATAGCAGCTCCTGCTTCCCACCGTAGATTATGGAATAGTTTTTCGACTTTCATTATAATTATGTAGGCAATAACTTGTAATTAAGCCTGAACTGAATTAGACTTTGAGGTTTGAGAGTAAAGTTCACTCACAATATATTCACTTTTAGGATTTGTAATATAAAAAGAGAATTCTTCATTAAAAAAGAATTGTTCTTCGTTCTGATCTTTTTTCGCCATAGCAACGCGTGGCATGCTTTTCATCATCAGCCTATTAATGTCCCCACTGCTGGGGCACAGGCCTTCCCTATGGATGGAATAGGGAGATTGGGCCATGACCCACTACGCGGGCCCAGTGCGGATTGGTGGGTGCTAACGAATGCAAATGCAGCCGGGTCCAACGGCTTAACGTGCCTTCCGAAGCACGGAGGAGCTCGAGATATTAAATTTTTGGTCACCCATCCAATGACCGACCACTGCGAAAGTTGCTTAACTTCAACGATCGCAGCCGAACGCGCTAGCCACCTGCGCCATCGAGCTCCTCTTGTCGAGTGGCATGGTTAAGTTTATGCTAAATTGGGAAACTGCGGAGAATTTAATAACTTAATGTTGGATGTCTTTGCCTTTTTAAGTAGATGCTATTCACAGGCCAAATACCCCTTGAGCGGTTGGCAGACTATCAAAGCTGCGGCAGCATGAGAGATAGAGAGGAAGGGGAAATTCAATTGTACGCTAGGTTTAGACACTATGAGTGTATTCCCTAATATATACCAGTATACTGGCCAGTGGTAATGACGTCACGAATACGACGTCATATTGTACTGGTATGCTACCATATTTTTACCGGTAAAACGATTATGACGTATGACCGAGCGTGCGTGAGATGCATTCGAATTTTATTTCTTTTTTGAAGTTATACTTCTTTAGGCGCATTATGAAAAAATGATGAGAGTGAAATTTTAAGATGCGCGCGCATCACTGTAACACAAAATTTTAACTTTTGTGTTTACCGGACATTAAGAAAATCTACCAACAAAATAGAAATAGAATCTCTATTTAGTGGGTGCTAACGACTGCATTGTGAAGGCCTATCAAAAGTATTTATTAATCTGGAACAACGGAACCAAAGCGCGATTCAGGAGACTACAGCGCCATCTCTTGACCATTGGTTTAGTAGAACCAAAAACCACATCTTTATTTTTTGTAATAAAATAACAGTTATAGGTATTCATATTTATAATATTTATCCACATGTTTCTAGTTTGTATATTCGGAATACGTGTTTGAGTTTCATACAAGTGCAAATCACATATGTTCTAATAAATTATATTCCGTAGCGATTTTAATTGAATATTTTGATTATTTATTTATTTTTTCAAATTAAAACTGAACTTTATTGACTGTGTCCTTTTCCAGACTTTTTATTAATTTATTGTAATTAATTATTTGCATGCAATTAAAAACTAATTTTAAACGATGCCAAAGAAGGATAACTTCTCACGCGCCTACATAAGTACACGCACCCATTTTTTTATTTAAAGAACAATAATGGCATCCGAGCAAAAAGAATTCCTTTTGATTGATCTTTTTTATTCGCACTATTTATAATATTTCTTTGATTCATGACGTCAGTGCACTGGCCAATATATTACGTAACAATTCACCAGTATATCGTCGATTCATGACGTCATTAGCACTGGCCAGTATACTGGTATATATTACGGAATACACCACTTATCATGTCCTACCCAAAATTTATGCAAAGTAACTATTTTCTTCACATTGACCACACTTTGAAGTTACTTCCGCCTTTCAGAAGACCGCGGTGAAATGACATTAACGGTTGCGAGGTGGCCTGATTCTGTCGGTGAGTGTAAGGTTCCCGGGCTTCACGGCTTTTGTCCGAGTAGCCTTGGCCGCTCGGACCCCCCACGAATGCTGTCGCCCGCGTTTCTCTCCTCTTCTCCTAGAAGAAGACGCGAGGAGACGTGGGCGACCGGGAGAGGGCAGAGGGACGGGAAGAACTACGCTTCCCCTCCCGCTCCCCCCTTTTAGGAACGGTGCCCCCCCACTTGTAATTTTCTCCTACAAAGGGGGGCGGCGGAGGGTTGCTTGGACGGGTACGCCCAAGTAGCCCTCCGCAGCGGACGGGGGGCGGTACGGTGGGCACTAGGAAGCGTACTCAGCCCCCACGCGCTGGCCATTCTGCGCACGTCTGCGGGGTCCCCGCAATACCTCGGGAGACCCCTGCCGTGGAGCCCCGGCGAGGCCGGGAAGCTGCTGGATGCGGGGATGCGGAGAAATCCCTCACCAGGAGATCCCGCGGCTCCGCATCCAGCAGTGTTGAAGGTATTCGCAGGACTTTTTTAGCAGATGTTATGCCGTAAAGCGCCCGTAAGAGTTGCGGGGTCCTCGGTGGGCAGCCACTGGGGGGTCCGTAAGAATTGCGGGAGCGAGGTGTGAGGTCCGTTCGGCGGTGTGCCTTTTAAAGGCGCCGTTGTCTGTAAACGGCATTTTTTACCTGCGTAATTAAAAAAAGGGCTTCACGGCTTTGGCCATAGAGTTGGTGTCGTAAGCGTCTATATATGCTATGCTATAGTGTCCGCTTATTATCTACTTATTTAACACCCTTTTTATATCAAAAAGATAGCAACTACATAGTATTTACTTATATAATAAAAAAAGGGCTTCACGGCTTTGGCCTTGTCATTGATATAAATAATAAAATACACGACTGCCTTTGAGAAAGAAAAACCAAAAACATTATAAACCACTTTATTAAAGTTACTATATTTGTATATATTTGATATGGCCTGATTAAGAGTACTTATATGGTAATAATGAGAAGACTGTTTTTTGGAGTTTACTCCTTAAGAATCGATTTGCATATATAAGGGGCCCGGTATGAGAAAAATGTGAGGAGTAAAATCTATCGATGAATGACCTCGTTACGTTTTTGGTGCGCATCCTATGTCGCGCAACTTTGACAAACAAAGATGACGGATTGATATTAATAAATTTTTTAAAATCTGAACTGAATTTAGATATTGTTTCTGATAGAGCAATGGGGACAACGAGGTATGGTACAACCATTGATGCGGTATTTTCAAGATTCGTGAACCACTTATCTACGAACGTCCATGTGTCTTATTTTAGTTACCATAAACCACTTGTCACTGTAATTAATAATGCAGACAATGTTGATTAAATTAAGATTTAAAAAAATGATAATAGTTGATCGAACTTAAGGAGTAAACTAAAGTCGTGCGTCGGAGCTGACACACACAATTTTTTTTAAGTATTTTTTTACATTGCTGTTATTTAAATTTTAACAGGTTAAGTATATTTCCCGGGATGGTGAAAGGACTCTAACGATATCAAACACATCTAATTCGGTTCAGGTGTTAGGAAGTTATGGTGGAAAGAAGAATGGCATACCAAAAGAATGAATCCTAAACACTCTTTTTTTGGGCAGTCGTGTATCAACTGAATATATAACTATTAAGCGTTATATTATAAGATTAAATTCTTAGAACACTAATGAAGAAAAGGTTAACTATCGTGTAAGAAACTCGTGTTAAGTTCACACCATTCCAATGCCATTTTTGATTTGGTGAATAGACAAAACAATGCGTAATTATTTTTAGATTCAATCTTTTAAAAGTTTATTAAGTCTACGTGACAGAAAAGATAGAAGCATTGGCGAACATTAAACAAACTGATTTGGTGGTTCATTTCTTTGTCGCGCTATGCAATTTGATTGCTTGGCCAGCTCACGTGTTCCCTCCCTCCTATAACACAGGTTCCTTTAGAAGAGGTAAATAATGGAAGGTGACTTCAAAGTATCTCTGAAGTCATTTTTCAACTTGAAGACTCTGTATATAACAATACAGGGAGAAAAAAAACCCTTGCTGAGTTTCTTGACGGTTCTTCTCAGTATAAGGTCTTCCGCCGTAGTTTTGCGAACTGATGGCGTAGCTTCTTAACCTTCACAAGTGCTCGTAACAGCCAGACTGAATAAATGACTTTTAATTTTGATTTTTTGAGCCGTGGAAATGCATCTTGAAAGCCGGCAAGATGCAGAGGGATGCTGTGGCAGGGAGAAATGTGCATACTAGTATTGTGCATACAGATAACTGTATCTTCGTGTATGAACTTTATTGTCACTAAGCATCAGGCGGGGTGGAGTCATTTGCTCGGAGTTACTTATAAAAAAATACATTGCATCAATCCAAAATTAATAGGGTATTTGACAGTATTAAAAATAAAGGCCAATTGTTAGCATTTGTATTTAGAATGAATATTGGCAGGGGTTTTTCTATTTTTAAAAACAAAATATTCATATTTTTACTAAAAACCCACGAAAAAGATAATAGTTTTCTTATCTATTGTCACGTGACCCAAAACGCTTGGGATTGGCGAAGCCTAAAATGACGTCACACGCAAGTAAACTACCGGTTAAAGTGACATTACATTGTATCGTTTGACGTTTTAATAACAGTCGTGTGACGTCACACACTAGTAAGACGCCATATTGTCCAGAAAAACGTTTCCGCGGCAACTTGAAAATGGAGTTATGATTTGTATATTTTTACTGAAATACGCAACAGAATGATGAATATCCACTTTTTACGGACTCCATAAACATTAGTCAATAACGTGAGATCGTTTTCTAAAACTTGTCATATACCCTATTGTGATCAATGAAATGAAAACATACTTTAGTCAAATTAAATTATTGAAATCTCTTTTGAATCGTCCAATATTTTTTCCTACATCGGGACATCTTTACGCTGATGAGAAGAATGGGCACAATAAACTCATCAGCATTTAACAGAAGTAGCAACATTTACAAAAAATCATGTCGCTACCTACCAATACAACGTCCATTCACATTTTGATTGCTGTGTCATACAGTATAAATACAAACAGTGCTCTATTTATCTGTACGGAGTTGAATGGTAGTAATAGGGGTGAAGACGGGGTACAGTAAACGAAATTCTATTTAGTCCGTCAGTTACATGATCAAAAAATAATAGACACGTATTTTTTCTTTGGGCAATCAACCAAAAAATGACAAAGTTATAGCGCGTTTGGGAGTAGGGGCTCGTGACGTCACTTTTTAGTGAATATTCGCTTAAAAGTGTACTCAAACGTGACGTCATGCGACTTTCCAAATCAATATTATCTCTGCAATATTTATATTATGTGAAAAAAGAAAAAATACGTGTCCAATACTATTTGATAATCTACCTGATAAACGAAGAAAAAAAAATTAGTCATCATCCCTATTCACTTTTCTTGTTTTTAAATAATTATTTTATGTTGTAAATTAGCAGCACGGTGGCTTAACGGCTAACTGTGTCCAGTTTGCGATAGTGGAAGTAAGGCAAATTTGGCACGATGGGTGACCAACAAAGTTCTTCGTAAGGTTAATCAGATTTTCGTATTAGCTCGCAGTCTTTAGAACTGACTAAGTTGTACTGATCCCGTGTGGTGGGCAGTTGCCCTTTCACCCTATGCCAACTATAGGGAAGGCCGGTGCCCCAGCAGTGGGGATATAATTAGGCTGGTGATGATTCTAGATAATGACTACTTTGGTAGACAGTCCCTTTAAGAATGTCTGAAGGCATTTTAGGCAACTGAAACTGTCCAGCTACATTGCTATTGTTTATCAGTAAGTATTTCAAAATTGGGTGACCAAAAATCTTCTATCTCGAGTTCCTCCGTGCTTCGGAAGGCACGCTAAGCCGTTGGTCCCGGCTGCTTCTGCAGTCGTTAGCACCCGCCAATCCGCACTGGGCCCGCGTGGTGGGTCATGGCCCAATCTCCCTATTCCATCCATAGGGAAGGCCTGTGCCCTAGCAGTGGGGACATTAATAGGCTGATGATGATGATGATTTCAAAAGTAAAACCTTGAGGGTCTTTTAGTAAATCCTCAAGTCATGTCGAGTCTTCTCATGAAAAATCCTAATATAAACATAACATATTTATCTGATAAAAAATTTCATCAGCAATTTAATAAGACTAACTTTCACCAAAGGAGGAGCTCGATGGCGCAAGTGGTTAGCGCGTTCGGCTGCGATCTTTGAAGTTAAGCAACTTTCGCAGTGGTCGGTCATTGGATGGGTGACCAAAAATTTAATAACATGAGCTCCTCCGTGCTTCGGAAGGCACGTTCAGCCGTTGGTCCCGGCTGCATCTGCAGTCGTTAGCACCCACCAATCCGCACTGGGCCCGCGTGGTGGGTCATGGCCCAATCTCCCTATTCCATCCATAGGGAAGGCCTGTGCCCCAGCAGTGGGGACATTAATAGGCTGATGATGATGATGATGAACTTTCACCAAACCGGTCCTGAATAGGGATAAAGGGACAATACATATATTGTTTCCTACTCATAAACACTGCGTACCGGTATGTGTCCGCATATGCCTCTTCAGCAGCGAGGGTCTGTCGAAGGTCTTCAAGCACACTTGGCAAGGCAGTATATTTTTCACACTCCCGCTTCTCGGCGGCAAACACACACCTTCTCTTCTGCATACCACGTTCGTTCTTTCGTAGAGGCGCGCCAGGTGGCTGTTCAGCCCCGCGAGGAATTTCAGATCAATTATACTCAATATCTTGTTCACTTGCCCAGATTTCGTTGACAGATCCAATGGTTCAGTTTGAACATCCATTCTGGTATTACAACAACTTATAATTATGGTTTTTGGAAGATTAATTTAGTGGGCATGCAATACTTATGTTTCCTATCTGAATTTTGAAATGTAACTGTCGTAATTTCTTAGCGATTTTCCCTTAAATAGTGGTGTCGGTTGACACATACAAATGGCAGTGTTGTATTAACAGTATTAGATTGTATAACGGGCACGCCGATGATCGTTTGCAGCTTTGTGGTGACGACAACAATAAGTTTTGTAGAGCACCAGCCACTAATCGACGTGATTTGACAATTTTTAGGGTTTTTCGCGTTGAGCTGTGATGCGATTTTCCGCTTTGGATGCGGCAGTAGGGACGAGCGTTCAGGTGAATTTGGCATATACTATTTTATTTTTAAAAGACATAATGTTTAATAATATATTTAAACATAAAAAATGTATAAAAATTAATAACTAGATCAAAATATTATTTTCTGTAATTGCAACATTAATAAGTCGTTGACGATTGTAACTACATCCGTTTCCGTCTTGTCTATACCAAGAAAATCAGTGCTATAAAGTTGTCTCCTTGAAATAAATTAATTTTGAGTTTAAAAATATTCCGCTGCATTTTATTTATACACATAATATGCTGCTCATTTGGGTCTATGCAACAGCTTTATGAGATATGGTATGGAGGTATTTGTTCCCAACAAAAGAACTATAACTATTAACATTTTATAAAAGTTGCTTTGAATAAAATCATGTTTAGGTACTCAAAATTTCCCTAATATTAATAATGCGAAGGTTTCTATGAAAAATTCGTTCATAATCATAATCAAAATCATTTATTCAGTTTAGGCTGTTACAAGCACTCATTAATGTCTAGAAGCCATCGGTTCGTAAATCTACGGCGGGAGACATTGTACTGGAAGAACCGACAAGAAACTCAGAACTTTGCTCTTCGAACGTAACTCTTTCACGCTACAACGACTGAACTGATTTGGATGAAATTTTGTATATACAAACAGTTTATAAACTAGATTAACATATGTAGGATATTTTTTTATCCCGGAATAATGTTAGATTATTGTGGGATTCTCGAAAATCTTATTTTAATATCCCTATTATTTATGTTATTCGTCCCCAAAGATACATAAACATCAAACAAAAATATGTTTGGTATTAATTGAATCTTATAAACTGGTAATACTGATACTAAGGAAAAGCTAGAAAAACAACATTTTATGATACTAACCAAGTTTAAACGATGGAAAGAAATGTGTAGAGTAAATGTGTATGGAATCTTTCTCAAAGCTCGCCCGCGTAGAACATTCAATGATCAAGAAATGCAACATTTTACTAATAAATTGTATGAAAGTCATCAAAAATTTGTGGGCACGCAAGTGTAGATTGCTGATTATAGAAGCAGAAAAAAGTGTATGAACCTAGAAAGCGGAGCTCTCGCTTTAGGATGAAGGAGTAAGTTTATGTATGTCCCAACGAGAGGAACCTGCCGCTTTAACTATGTACCTGATCAGCTAAATTATTTCACCTTTCACTGTGAAAATACAATCTCAATTTTCCTCGCTTTTATAAAGTTTTCTTTTATTTTTGAGATTCGAAACCCAAGCACGAACAACTAGCGAGACAGTATTGGTATCCCTATCGTCATTAATTCTTTATAAAGAGCAAGTTCGTTCTTACGCCCGGTAAGAATGCGGCTTAGTTACCATAGTTAGTTACCTTAGTTACCAAATTTTGACGATGGCAATACGAACACGATTCTGTCAAAGTCTGTGCTTCGGGTACAGCTGCAAAATAAAAGTTTAACACCAAGGTTATTTCCACAAGATCTTATCAACAGGATTCTTAGGATCTTATCTGTGTTTTATTCGAAAATAGGACACAGATCTGGGGAACTCACCTCCACCTTACATAAGACCACAGTAAAATAACACTGCCTTTTGGCGGTGTTGTGTTTCTGTCGGTGAGTAAGGTTCTAGGGCTCCACGGGGTAGGGGATCGGGTCAGGGCAGGCAACGACGCGAATGATATTTTTTGTATCGCAAGCGTCTATAGGCTATGTTGGCCGCTTGCCATCATTCTAGGTTGCCAGATGCTGGCTTATGAATTCCGGGAAATTTGCACCCCTCCTGAAAAAAAATAAAGCATCAAATCAAACCCCCCATCACCCACCAGGATTAAAACATCAAGCCAGCGGTGTCATTACTAATTGGTTTATTTTGTTACGAAACTAGCACATTATCGGAATCCGGGAAAATAAGGTCTTATTATTGGACAAGGGACAAGACGGAAAGTTCCGGGACAATCCCGGATTTCCCGGCCATCTGGCAAGCCTACATCGGGCGGACCATGCTTGTTTTAGTTTGCCACCCTTTTAACATAAAAAAAGGTAAGAAAAAAGCAACAACCAAAAAGTCGTTAATGGAGCAGAAATAGATGTATTTGATCGTAGATCTTTAGTATTTAAGAAGAATCTAATTGCTAATTTGTAACATTTATAATTATTTAAACCATTGCTAGTAATCAATTTAAATTAACAAAAAATAATAATATTTGGCTGTAGTTTAGCATGTCAATCAATCTGTTATTATTATTTAGTCACTCAGTATGTACATATTAAAGGTTACATCCTTGTTTTTTGTGTGATAATGAAAATAATTTTGTACTGAATGTTTGTCACCTGTTTGTACTTACATCAAATAAATAAATAAAAAAAATTGTGTGTGTCAGCTCCGACGCACGACTGGAGTTTACTCCTTAAGTTCGATAGTCTAACCAGACGCAAAAAGAGTTTATTTAACATAAAAAAGATTGATACTGTATGAAAGGGTAAATTAACAAATTAATATTAATGGTTGTACCATACCTCGTTGTCCCCATTGCTCTATCAGAAACAATATCTAAATTCAGTTCAGATTTTAAATTTTTGAAGTTATACTTCTTTAGGCGCGTTATGAAAAAATGATGAGAGTGAAATTTTAAGATGCGCGCGCATCACTGTAACACAAAAAATTAACGACCAAGCTAAAGCGACCAACTTCATGCGTTATTTTTGTGTTTACCGCACATTAAAAAAATCTACCAACAAAATAGAAATAGAATCTCTATTTAGTGGGTGCTAACGACTGCATTGTGAAGGCCTATCAAAAGTATTTATTAATCTGGAACAACGGAACCAAAGCGCAATTCAGGAGACTACAGCGCCATCTCTTGACCATTGGTGTAGTAGAACCAAAAACCATATCTTTATTTTTTGTAATAAAGTAACAGTAATAGGTATTCATATTTATAATATCAAAAGTATTTATTAATCTGGAACAACGGAACCAAAGCGCGATTCAGGATACTACAGCGCCATCTCTTGACCATTGGTGTAGTAGAACCAAAATCACATCTTTATTTTTTGTAATAAAGTAACAGTTATAGGTATTCATATTTATAATATTTATGCACATGTTTCTAGTTTGTATATTCGGAATACGTGTTTGAGTTTCATACAAGTGCAAATCACATATGTTCTAATAAATTATATTCAGTAGCGATTTTAATTGAATATTTTGATTATTTATTTATTTTTTCAAATTAAAACTGTACTTTAATGACTGTGTCCTTTTCCAGACTTTTTATTAATTTATTGTAATCAATTATTTGCATGCAATTAAAAACTAATTTTAAACGATGCCAAAGAAGGATAACTTCTCACGCGCCTACATAAGTACACGCACCCATTTTTTTATTAATGTCAATCCGTCATCTTTGTTTGTCAAAGTTGCGCGACATAAGATGCGCACCAAAAACGTAACGAGGTCATTCATCGATAGATTTTACTCCTCACATTTTTCTCATACCGGGCCCCATATATTAATATGCAAATCGATTCTTAAGGAGTAAACTCCAATTAACTCAAATGAAGTTGTCACAGCGCATCCATAATATTCATAACTCGTTGTAATGTATTGAAGAAAAGGTAATCGCCTATAAAGGTGACGCGGCAACAAATATTTGTATTTCCACGCTTTGTGTGGGCCTCCGGTGGTGCGCCGCTTTCGGGCGATACGCGGGACGCCGGGACGCCGGGACACCGGGACATCGGACGTCCCCTATTGTCGTTCACAAAGCACGCTCCTCTCCACAATATAGGGTAATCAACGTCTCCAAACTGTATTTAGGTGCATTCGGACTACGCTATAATATTGCGCTATATACTTTAGCGCGTAAAGCAAACCCATATAATAGACGCGTATAGATTTAGGTTAGATGTCTTTATTGCAACAAATATGACAATGAGGTATGCAAAGCAGATTCTATATATTTTACCATAAATTGCATGCAATTTATACAAATAGTTAAAATAAAATAAAAGGGTCTTTACTATACAATTATAAAAACCAATATACAGGGTGGTTCAATTAGTGACGTCAACAATTTTTTAAGATTCCTCGCACCTGGGGGTATCCGAAAATAGCCCATGAATGTTTCGCGATATTTCTTAGTTTTGGAGTTATAATTTTTTTTGTGTATTTTTAATGATTTCTGCCAGCGAGGTTTCAAATATTCATATCTTTTTTCGTAGTAGATATTTTGCAGTCCTTTTTTTTAAATAAATAAATAAAATAAAAAATGATTATTTCGAACCAGAGTCCATATAGTGTTAGTAACAATGAATTTAATTTTTTTGTGACATAATTGTCTTGAATATTGTTTTAATAAAAAAAATAACTTAGCTTCCTGTAATTACTTAAAGTTACTCAAAAAAAGCTTGAAAGTTGGAACTTTAGTTTTTAGTAGGATTTACACAAACATTCAACTTCAATTTAAAAATACAAAAAGGAATTTCCATAGCTTCTGGCTAAAATAAAAACTACCAAACTACCAAAAATAATGTTTGTTGGTCATATTATCAACAATTATGAATTCTTATCAAAGAAAGTAAAATCATCTCAAGTTGATCAAACAAATGACTTTTTCTTTTTACTGTACATAATGTGGTCAAATGGTTAAAAAAGATAATA